GTTTCTGGAAGGGAGAAAAACAACCATTGGTTAGTAACCCAACTCTGCTATGTAACATGTTCTGAGGTCTATGCATTCTTAGGAACTGTATCTGGGTATTTGTGTCACTAGATCAGTGGTTCTCAAATTGTTTTACTTCAGGACCCAGATTTTACTCTGAACATCAAGAGGCGACCCAACCAATACCAAAATTGTTTAATTGGAAATGGAATTTTGATAGTTACATGTTCGTGGCAGCCAGTAACCATGCTGGAAATCCAGCTTGAGCTTGATGCTAGTTGTCTTTTGTAACATGGTAGCTGGTTTCTTGCAGGTCCAAGTTGGTCTTAAGTTGGTCAACCAGATACTATGTTCTGTAAACCTGTTGTATGTTTTGATAAGTCCAGCTGGTAGTTGGTTTCTTGCTGGTCCAAGTTGGTGATAAGATGGTAGACCATCTTGGACCATTAACAAACTAACTTACACCAAGGAGTCGAGCTGGTTTTTGGAACATAGTGGCTGGATTGACCAACTAAAGACCAGCTTGGATCAGCTAATGACCAACTTGGACCTGCAAGAAACCTGCCTCAGTGTAGACTTGTTACCATGTTCCAAAACACAGCTAAAAGCTTAAACTGGATTTTCCGGTAATACATTCACTGCACAAACATATTTATCTGTATTGGAAGTGGACAAGTTATTTAAGTCTGACTCATATTTTCCTTTACCTATTGCAGTTTTGTTCACAGTTTTCAAAGATGAGGACTGGTCACACCCACACTGGCATCCGTCTTAATTTGATTAGCTTCTACAAAGTGACAGATGAATGGACTACAAGCGGGTGACATGACATGACTAAACTGGAAAGCTCCCATTATAAACAAATCTGTCAGCAAGTGCTCTGCTTAGCTTGGGTGATTATGACGGTCGAGTTCTAGATTTGTCATGTTGTTTGCTTGCAGGGTAGATAGGGTGTAAGACTTCAGGATGAGATGGGTTTTCTTGACAGCGGATATCAGCCTTACACCCCAAGCCACACTGACCCACTTGCACCAGGGGCTGAGAGTTGTCACTTCCTCAGGAACACATGGTGTCTGATTTAACAAAAACTATTTAAACTGTCAACCACACTTCACTCAAAAGAGATTAACGTGACACAGCAAACAAGTAATATAGACACCTTTTATACTGTTTTTGTCCTTTTTGGAGCTAGAGAGGATAAATAACTTTAATGTTTGTTGCAGGGAAACAAGCAGCTTGGACATTCTGCAAAATATCTAGTTTCAGGTGTAAGAAACCAAATTGTTTTGGAACAACATGAGGGTTGGTAAATGACTGAAAACAATACTGGTTTTATTATGTGGATGATTTTAGGCCCTCAACTCATGTCTGAGACACTCTCCTGGTTAATATTTGCAGATTTGTCTCCTCTTGACTAGTTTTGGCCAATTCCTCCTACCCAAAATACACAGTTAGCTTTCCAGAATGAAACACCACACTCTCTCCCTCTCTTTCTTGCAGATGTCTGTCTTTACCCACCCCACATTCACCCCACCCTGAAAGCCATCTGCACCCATTGTCTGGGGCAGGGGACAAGGCTCCACCACCCCCTGCATACACACACAACCAGCTTTGAAGAAGGGGGCAGGGGTCCTAAATCCAACAGCAATGAAGAAATATTACTTACTGAGCAGTAAAACATCAGCTCAATAAAGACCCAAAGGAACTAATCACTCTTCAACAGAAACTATCCTCAACCCGCAGCTGTGATGATCTTTTCTGTATGAAATATCAACTTTTATCCCCCTTTCTTCCCTACTTTCTGTCTGTCTTTTTCCACCCCCTCCATCCTCTTGGGACAATATGCCAGTGGATCTGCAGGACAGAGATAGCAGCAGTGGAACTGGTCGCCCAGATTATGGTTATTGTGTTTATAGACTTTTTGAAGCCTTTGTGATGTGATATGAAGATGAGGTTTTCCTGTCCTAACCCTAAGTTCCCATAGGAAAAGAAGTTGCTCTTTCATAGCTAAGGAGACTTTGTCTCAGATGTTTCTCCTGTAGATCCTTGGTAGAAATCAAAAGACACAAATGTGAACATCACTGAAATAAATTATTGGGAAAATCTGGAGAAGTAGGGGACCAAATCTCCATCTGCTCTCATTTTAATCGCATTGCTGTCAATGACAGATCAGGCAGGTCACAACCCCCAAAAAGGGTCTAGGACAGCAGGAAAAACAATCCTTTTGCAAATAATCATATTATCATGCTCATTACTCTTAAAATGGTGGATAAATGCTTCTTTTGTTGTTGATGTCAAAGGTTGTCCATCCAATCAAACTCAAGGCTCAAATTCATTTGGCTTTATTTAGACAGATTGCCGAATTCTCACCAGTTGTAACTGTAATATTATATTCAATATAATATTAACTCATTTTATTACAAGATTTCTCTAACTAAATTTGTATGAGGGAACAATTTAGATTCTGTGTTGGGTTGCTACTTGATGTCCAATGTAAAATCTGGGTCTTGAAGCAAGATGAATAGGAGAAATAATAATTGATAATTAAAGTATGTGACTATTTTTTTCCCAGTTGGTTATTAAACCTAAACCTTGAAAGGCTGTGTCCCCGAAGAACCTTATATAGCCAGATAATCCAAAGTTTACATGGCATCTTAAATTTGCATTAGCCTTCCAACACAAACATGTAAATCTTTCAGCTTCTGAGTTCACGTCCTCCTCCTAATGAGATCTGCCTTCAATCTGGCACAGACGACAGACCTCTGCCTGGGTCTGCACGGTCCTTTCAGATCCCAGCAAACCACCAGGCATTGTCTGGCCTAAACAGCCATCCCCAGCACCATGAATGGGAAGAATAAGGGTGAGCTGGTTTGAATGGAAGACCTACTTTACAGACGGATGATCTCTCTCGCTCTCTCTCTCTTCTGGATCTTATTGTCTGTCAAGGCCACGGTGAAGCAAGCGGAAGCCCTGGAGAGGAGATTGATTTTGGGATTAAACTCCAGGGTTGGCGGCATTAACCAGACGGGTGAAGGAATATGCACTTGTGTGTCTGTCTGAAGTCACGTCCATGTAAATGACTGTGCGAGAATTTGACTGCCATGTAAGCAGAGTGAAGCATGCAGTTTCGTCAAAGTCGATATCAAATCACCAATGAAAACCCAAAGAGTTTTGTCCCAATGGCTACTATGTGCATGATGTAAAGAGCGAAGGCTTTTGGGTGTCGACTAGAGATTGAGGGACAAATATGTTCTTGTGAGAGGGGGCATTAAATTAGGGTGTTTAAAACGTCAGAGAGATGAGCTGTAGGCGGGGTCAGGGCACCAAATGATGAGGTTGTTGTTGCTCTGGGGCAATGCTGGCCTCTGATCCGTGTGAATGAGAATAATGGCCATTTCATTCAGACTTGAATCCAACCAACAGCCATCATACTAAAGGAGACAGGCTTTACTTCATCTGTCCGAGCAAATTTAAGACCTGGGAATATTGGTGTTTGTCTTTCAATGGCCAGCGTTTGGGGCTAATGCAGTGTCAGCTTATCTTTTGAATGATGTAACCCTTTGGGCGGTACATAAGATTTATAAACCTTTCTCTTATGTTCTCGGTTTTTGGTTCCATCTCAAGCCAGAAGACTTGATTTTCTTGTTCCAGAATTAACAGACCAAAATTTGTTTAAATAAAATGTGAGTGGATGCAAAACTGGCTGCCAAGGTGTTGTTGTATGGTTGCTAGGTTGTTTTGAGTGGTTTCTAAGGTGTCCTGGGTGGTTTTTGAACATTGATATGTGTTTGGCAGGGTGTTGTGGGTGGTTTTATCATGCCGCTATACAGCATTTAGGATGTATTAGGTTGTTGTATTAGGATGTATTATGCATGTTGCTATTTGGTCACTAGGGTGTTCTTGGTGGTTTTCCATGTTGCTATGCAGTTGCTAGGGTGTTTTGAGTGGTTGCCAGGGTGTACTGGGTGGTTTTTGCATATTTCTCTAAGGTTACTAGGGTGTTCTGATGGTTTTTGCATGTTGCTATACAGTTGCTTGGCTGTTTTAAGTGGTTGCTAAGGTGTTCTTGGTGGTTTTTCCTGTTGCTATGCAGTTGCTAGGGTGTTATTGGTGATTTAGCTTGGTGCCATGCAGTTGCTAGGGTGTTTTGAGTGGTTGCAAGGGTGTACTGGGTGGTTTTTGCACATTGCTATATGGTTACTAGGGTGTTCTGATGGTTTTTGCATGTTATGTGGTTGCTAGGGTGTTCTGGGTTGTTTTAGGATGTAGCCATGCAGTTGCTAGGGTGTTTAGAGTGGTTGCTAAGGTGTCCTGGGTGGGTTTTACACAGTGATACATGGTTGGAAGGGTGTTGTGGCCTGTTTTAGCATGTTTCTATATGGTTGCTAGGTGTTATTAGGGGTTGCTAAGCCATTGCTAGGTGGTTGCCATGGTATTATGGATGGTTGCTAGGTGGTTGCTCACTGGCCTAATTAAAAAAGCCCACCTGCAAGTCTCAATGATATTTAAAGCTGCAGTCTGTAACTTTTTTTGGTTAAAAATGATCCGAAATCAATGGATCCATCCGCGCTGGAGCCGTGCCGACTCACAACCCACGCAAGCTAGATAATTCCACACACAGCTGCAATTCCAGGTTTTCAAACAGAGATGGCGACAAAGAGGCAAAAACTTACGGACTGCAGCTTTAAGCAAAACTTGATCATACACTTGGAAAAGTAATAAAATAAACACATACTGCTCAATTAAGCTGCACAAAAATTTGACAAATCATTCATGTTCGTAACACAAACTGTGTTGGACGTGTCATGCACCAAAGTGTAATACTAAAAAAACCCAACCCTAAGTATAAACAATAGTAATGACGCTTGCCTCAGCTAACACCACTAACACAATAAAAGCAATGGCCCAGATTCTGATAGCAGTGTGCATGAGTGTGCATTTACTTGCAGTTCACTTCTGCAAAAACTACCAGTTGTTAAACACACGCAAACTAAATGATTCACCGCTAAACTCTGTCACATGGTAGAGCAGCTGAGTCAGACCTGAAGATCACATTTAAAGACCCAAACCTAATAAAACCAGCTACCAGTTGCGACACACGGAGTGACATCAGACCGCGAGGGTGTTGAAATGCAGCAGTCAACAAAGAAATAAACAGAAAACCAGTCAGTGAGATGATGGGAACAGAAAACCACTAGTAGCAAGAGAGTGAGAGAGACAGCTGTGAACTGACAGGAACTACAACATCGACTTTTTCAACTTTACATTAGCTCTGCTCCAAAACCAAGTGAGCTTTCTCGCTATCTGCTCCCTAAATCACTCATCAATGACTGATTTGGAGTGGACATAATGACCATTTGCCATAATATGCATATTGCTAACCCAACAGCGTGACATTTTAATAAGCGTAAAAACACGTAGCCCACAAATAGGCCTATATTACAGGCAGAGCTGGGTAGATTACTTTCGAATTGTAGGCCATTACTAATTACAGATTGCATGATGAAAATTGTTGCTAGTAACATAATCTAGGTCACTCGTTTTAGGTAAAATAATCTGACTACTTTTTAGATTACTTTTAGATTATTATTTTTTATGTTTTAAATGTACCATATTGATATAAAAAGCAAAGAGTATTTGTTACACATATTGCATGTACTTACTATTATAATAACAATTAATTATGCATAATTACATGCAAGTAACCCAAAGCCAAACCCTAATCCTAACCCTAACCATATAGTAAGCACATTACTCAGTACTTAAATGTAAATATTACACTGTAACGAGGACACCTTAAAATAAAGCGTAACCATATTCCATTTTTGATATCAACATCATAAAATGCATTAAACATTACATTAGTAAGTTGACAGAGAGTGAATAGTGAGTTCGATAAAAATGTAATTATTCGATCATAAAAATGTAAAATAAAAGCAATTTAAACACATATAAATATTGTATTTGTTTGCCTGCATGTCAGTCTGACCATTAATCAACATCAGAGAACTGTAAACATGCTAATGTGTTGTTAATTGTTTTTTTAAATATTAACAACTTCTGTGATATTTCAACAAATTGTATATTTTAATGGGTGACAAAAACGGGAATTGAAAATCACTGCATTAAACACATTACTAAACATGAAAACAACGACAAGCATACAGTCTTCCCGGTTTGAAATATTTTTATCCAAACTTCCAGAATTGATAAATTATGAATAATTTACTGCCACTGTATGAATAATATGTAAACATGTAATCCATAAAAAAGTAACTGTACTCTGATTACAAGCATTTTAAAATGTAATATACTCTAATTACAAGTACTACATTTGTGGAATCTGATTACGTAATCCAGATTACACGTAACTGGTTACAGGCCGCATAAGAGTTTGTAGTTAGCTTGTTGCTAGGCTAACAGTGTAATACTTTGGCTGCATCTGAAATCTTAGGCAGCTGACTTGATGCTTCGTTGCCTTATCCAGCAATGACTTTACAGAGTGTTTGCGCTCAAAGGTACCTCACAAAACTGATTTCGGACAGATTTATGAAGCAGCATAATTGTTTAATGGTCTAGAACAAAATAGAGAAAGCTTTGATGATAACTAAGTGAATTTAACTACTAAAATACTGATTTCTAATTTACTACAAATCTAATCTCACTAGAAATGACACTTAATATGGAAAAGCCTACATTAACACAAAAATCTTTATTCAATACCATCTTTGTTTCAATTTTTTTTTCTAGTTCAGCTGTCACGGAATTGAACTCACAGGATATCAGGCAGTGAAGGATACACCTGTGCTGCCTTCTAATATCAATCAAATCAAAGCATCTCAGGAGACCGGAAGTGAAGGTAACATTGGATTCTGACGTGCTTTAAGCATAACAAATTGAGTTTGTAGTTAGCATTTTGCTAAGCTAATCTCAAGATACTTTAATAAACATAAACACATAGCAAACAAATGTTTTTGTTAGGCTTATTAAGAGTGGCGTGTAAGAGTTTGTAGTTAGCATGTTGCTAAGCTAACAATGTGATATTTTATGTGTAAACACAGCACACAAATGCTATTTTGGGCTTGTTAAAAAGATGAGTTTGCATTTGGAATGTGGCTAAGCTAATCACATGATACTTTCTTAAAAGTAAAAACACAGCAAATTGCTATGTATTTCTAGGCTTTTAAAGAGTTGAGTAAGAGATTGTAGTTAGCAGGTTGCTAAGTTAACAACACAATACTTTATCGTAAACAAAAATACATAGCACACATGTTAATATCAAACTCTATTGATCTTTTCGAACAAATTTCGAAAAGCTCATTAGGTTTTGAAACACAGCGATTGTGTCAGTGGTGTAGGTGTGATCACCGCCACTGTGTTTCGGTGATAAAATCTAATGTTTTGACTGACTCACCAGCAGTGTTGCCAAATCCGCAGTTTTCCCGTGGAATTGGGCTACTTTAACACTGTTGCCACGGGTTATTTTTCATGTCCGTGGGTTGAAGGGACCCCAGTAACGTGATATTTAGCCCCTGGAATGCGAATTTTACTGGAGGATCCCCAACAAAAAACGTGCATTTTACCCCCCCGGAATGCACTTTTTACTGGAGAACCCCCCTCGAAACGCGATTGGGCTAGTTTTGAGTAGGAATTGGGCGGGTTTTGTTGCAAAAACCTGGCAACCCTGCTCACCAGCTATACCATGAAAAAAACAAGTCCATCACCATTCCTAGCCTCGATCGCTGATTAAAAGTCCCCATCTACATGTGTTTGTCCTACTGTTAAAGGATGTGATGGACGCATTCAACATTCACAACTTCAACATCCTGGCCTCAGGCAGTCATTAGGTCCTTCGACCTGTCGCTCTCTCTTTAATCATCTCCTTTCCTTCCTTCTAATTTTCCGAGGAGGCCTCATGCTAACAGCTACGGCAGCGTCTCGCCACTTCAAAGAGCCGAAGGCAGAAACCCGTTTACTCTTAGTAAGAGACCAGATGACAGAGAGACAGATGTCTCATCAGAGACAGGTGTCTGTGGCTGCGTGTCACGCAAATAATAACTGGTTATCTGGTTAAAACCGCAACAGAGTGAGACAGATCGCGCTGAGTGGAGGAGAGTCCGGACCCCTCTTTAACACCAACCCCCTCTCTTTATCTCTCTGTCCCTCGTCCATTGTCACCAGCTGTCCCTCCTCGGGAACGCAGGAAGACAATGAGCTACAAAAGCCAAAGGGCAATTACGTGCTGCCGAGAGAGTGTGAGGGTTTGGCGTGTGTGTGGACGCACTTGCGTGTGTGAGAGGGTGAGAGGGACTTGTATGTTGATTGCTTAGATGCAGGGAGGGGTCCGGTACATGACGTTATAATACTGTTTCTGAAGGAAAGGGTGAGAATAGTTCAGCCATGATAACATCCAGGAAGTCCTTCTCTGTGTCTTGGAGGCATCTGGACAAACAAAAGACCCCCTGAGTGATATTTGACCCAAACAAACTGGCTACAGCACCTGAGGGTCCAAAGGTATTAGTCAGGTTATGAAGTCCATGTGTGTGTCAATATACAGGATACATTATGAATCGATATTTAAAGAAAAGATAAAAATTATATTAGATTGTTTTCTTTAATAACAATGTCAATTTAAAATAACTGTTTTTAATATCCCTAGGTTCTCCGCTGACTTCTATCATAAAAACTGGCAATTTATTTAGAACTATTTCAGGTATTTCTTAATTTTTCCTTTCGCTAATCAAAATAGGTTGATATTTCTTGATAAGACATGAAAATATACAGCATTTTTTTTTTTTTTATCAACTTTTTAAAGGATGGAAATCATATTAGCTGTTTTTATTTAATAACAATATCACAATTCATTTAAATGAGGGTGATTTATAAATAATTTCACTAGATTAGTTTGAATTGATGTTGCCATTTTTTAATATCTCCAAGTGCACAATTTACTTCTAATACCAAAACTGTCAATTTATTAAAAACTAGTTCAATTATTTCTTAATTTTGTCCTTTTGCTAATCAAAATGTTTAGACATTTAATGAAATGTAAAACACATAGCACACAAATATGCTGTGTATTTCTGGGCTTATGAAAATATCACATAAGAGCATGCTGCATGTTGCTAAGCTAACAATGTAATACTTTAAGCATAAACCAAGCGTAAAAATACAAGTATGACATTATAGTTTGCTGTTAGCTTTTTTGGGGGAGGAATATTGTTTAAATTGTTAATATTTTCACAGGCTTTTCCTGTGACTTGGTGTCTTTTGTAATACTTTTAACTAACAATGGCAGTTCCTTAATGACCTCATCCTCCAGGAAGTGACATCAACCCAAACGTCAGTGAGTAGCAATGCATTTCAGTAAATTTTGACATTTTGTAGTATTAGCTGGTCTCGCTTTAAATGATCCTGTTCAAAAAAGTTCAGAAATTCATATACTATCAAAAACTCTGATTAAAATAAATATAAAATAACATATTCAAAAGCTACAGTGTTCAAATGTCACTGCATAACATGAATACCCTATGAATAACCTCATGCTAAGGTGATATTTATAAGCTAGCAGCTAATTTCTGTAAATAGTTGCCTCCCTGTTTACAGTGGTGGATGAGGTTTTGAACATGATTAGACAAAAATCCATCAGCACTCAATGAATAAAGGCCACACACAGCTGATTACACTTTAGACAAAGAAGGCCAGTTAAACAGCGCTAGCTTGTGCTAGTCTGCTAAGTAAATGCCTTTGTGCTAGTCTGCTAAGTAAATGCCTTTGTGCTAGTCTGCTAAGTAAATGCCTCTAGGGAGTCACTCGCAGTTTACACTGATCACCATCATTATAGAACAACAGAGCAACTTAAGAGAATATTTGTAGTGGTGTTTTTATACTCAGGGTCAGCTTTACAGTGTAAACACACACCAACATGCGCATTCAAAACCCAGACGAGAAACACAGGGAGGGTCAGCATCACTAATTCACACTTAGCGGTGAAATGTAGCACCAAATGTGAGAAGACACACGGTTTTGAGCTGCACTGCGTCACTCTGGGTGCTGAGTATGGTATACAAGTTTCAGAAGCAACCGCATATCCTGTTGCATTCAACCAGTTATTACTTAAGACATGTTTACAGTTCTCTTATGACTTATAGCTCGCTTCTTTGCTATAGAAATTCAAGATTAAAACAGATTTCCAAAATGAAAAGGCAATAGCAAGACAACAGAATGGTGATTAGGTTCGGTGTAAATGAAATTCTGTCGACTGTGTACAAGATTTATGGTTAATGAAAATTAACCATAGTTTTATTGTAATAAAAGTGTAATGGCATGTTTTTTTGGCATATTTATTACCATTTATTTAACACGTTTTACTACAAATACCATGGTTAAACTATGCTTAGTGTAGCAAAACCATGGTTAATTTGTGGTTTAACTATATTAAAGGGGTCATATGATGTCGCTAAAAATAACA